TTTTAATATACGATGAAAATTAAAAGCTTTCAAAAAAATTACTACATATATATATTATTTCAAAATGCAAGTCCGCCGAGTTTGTTTTTAGATTGAAATAAATAAAATTATTTAAATTAATTAGAATTCAACCTATAGCTAATCTTCATTCGTGTTCTGGAACAGTTAACAACAGTTGAGTCCCGGATTCGTCTTTCAATCCACAGCATGAAATAAATATTTTCTTCACTAATCAGAGAAACGTAATAGAAGCAGTCATTAATGTAATTATGTAACGTATAGATCTACATAATCAAGATATACTGGTACTTAATAACGAAACACCTCATAAGTGCTACCTGAATTTTTTTATGTCGATTAAAATAATGTATTCAGTCGTTTCTGTACAACGGTACATGTGTTTTTTTTCTGGAATGTTCGATAAATTTAAAAGATTTTATATTGGATAAAATACTCGTATAATGATTTAAATATTTACCGCTTATGTCATTCACATTCTGAAAAGCTTCAGAAAACTTTCAGAACCGCTAACGAATGGATTTTGATTAGCTATGGCCAATAAAAAGACATATAATAAAAAATATTTTTTTATTGCCTTTGTAGGCAGACGAACATACAGCCCACCTGATGGTGAGTGGTTACCGTCGCCCATGGACTTCAGCAATTCCAGGAGCAGAGCCAAGCCGTCGCCTGCCGGCTCCTGCCGGCTTATAAATATTATTTTTTCCGCATTTTAATCTAACTCTTGCATGTTCGTAAATGGTTTTCAAATTAATTTCCTGATAAGATTTAAATTTTTGTACATAAAAGAAACATTTTCGTTCGTCTTAAGAAAGTGTTATAATAAAAAAAACTGTAAATGTTAGTTTAATAGATCGGTCTCGTCATTAAAGCTTTTTAGGGCAATTATTTAGATAATAATTATTACACTTTTGTAATTAACGTGTCTTGTTTTCGGGGCCCATTATTCCTCTAGGGTCTTCGATTTAAAGGAATGACTTGATCTAGATCAGAAAATTCACAGTACAGCCCGAACGGTTACTTGTTGTCAAATTTGTTGCCAACAACAAATCCAATGATCTATCCGCCAACGTGAGTGGTCCAATCCGTCTGAAGTCATTGTGGCCTAACGGATAAGACGTCCGGTGCATTCGTGTTGAGTGATACACCGGTTTTCGAATCTCAGACGGGTTCCAATTTTTCTAATGAAATACGTACTCAAGAAATGTTCACGACTGACTTTCGCGGTGAAGGAATAACATCGTGTAATAAAAATGGAACCCGCAAAATTATAAATTTGCGTAATTACTGGTGGTAGGACCTCTTGTGAGTCCGCACGGGTAGGTACCACCACCCCGCTTATTTCTGCCGTGAAGCAGTAATACGTTGCGGTTTGAAGGGTGGGGCAGCCGTTGTAACTATACTGAAACCTTAGAACTTATATCTCAAGGTGGGTGACGCATTTACGTTGTGGATGTCTATGGGCTCCAGTTACCACTTAACACCAGGTGGGCTGTGAGCTCGTCCACATTATCTAAGCAATAAAAAAAAACACTGCGATATGAATAACCAAATATTTCAAATCATTAAGTTCTGTAGATTTCACGTTAAATCTTCGTCAAACATAATTCAAGTAGATTTTCGAGTTAGGCCATCACCCTGTATATTCTAATTGGTTACGTTACTACAGGAGTCAACAGACACATTCGACGTAAATGGCGTGAGATATAGTAGTCTCTTTGAAGATACAGTTTCTTTTACAGTTGTTTTTCCTACTGAGCTGCTTGTAGCCTATAGCGGTTATTCCAGCTACGCACGGACGCGTACTTCAGTCCACGGGCTCAACTTGAAATATTTGCTAACACTAACAAGTACAGTGCTTCAATGAATCTACCACAGGATCAGAATCGCGACCCACTGAGAAGATCCGGCGAGAAACCCAGTGGTTCTTTTACAGTTAATTAAACATCGCGTTGCCCAAAACACGTCATTACGGATTCTCCCGATCCATTAACGGTGCTTTTAGGTACCACAAGCACCGGTCATCGTCCTCGTCGAACCCGTCGCTTGCGACGAAGGGCTCGACGAGCGAATTGACCCATACACACAGCCCACTGAGTTTCTCGCCGGATCTTCTCAGTGGGTCGCGTTTCCGATCCGGTGGTAAATTCTGCGAAGCATTGCTCTTGCTAGGGTCAGTGTTAGCATCACTCCGGTTTGAGCCCCGTGAGCTCACCTACTAGTTAAGGTTACGCTGAAATAGCCTCTCAAGGCTATCAGTTTAGGTAGGAAAAAAAAACATCGCGACCTGTCAACTTCGCACAATGATCGTAGCTGTACCGCGTATATTTTAGTGAAAAAAACTTACAATTAACAGCTAAAACAACACGGAAACAAACAAGACTGAAATAAATCATTCACTCATAAACTGATTTATTTACAGCCTTCTAAAACGTCTAGATTCCTAAACGGTCGTATTAGTTACGCCTACCCGTTCGTTGAAACTTGTTTTTGTAATGGCAATACAGCACGTAGGTGTATGGATATAATTGGAAGTTGATCCCCAGGAATTTGTTTTGTAATAAAATTGTTTCGTGTTTAATGGTAGTGCTGGCGTCTTGTCAAAAACCTTTATTTTGTTATTTGTGTTTGTTGTATGTTTTGTTTGTTGTGTGTTGTTTGTTAGCGGAATCGAGCTTTTGTGACCACGAAAATCATAAAGTATTCGAGAAGTCATCGAAGTCATTATAGGTATAGTATTTGCAGGCTCTTCAAGGAACATTTCAACGATCACTGATTGGACTGGTCCAGCTATGTTGGGGTCTGAGGTTTTACGGACATTGAAAGCTGCTAAAACAGGTAAATCACCGGGTCCTGATAATATACCGATCGAAATACTAAAGTTGCTGGAAGAAGATCAACTGGACGTTCTCACACAGTTCTTCAATAACATCTACGAAACTGGCAATCTTCCTAGTGACTGGCTAAAATCCACATTCATCACGATACCCAAGAAGCAAAACGCCAAAAAATCTGGAGAGTATCGTACGATTACTCTGATGAGCCATGTTCTAAAAGTATTCTTTAACATCGTACAGAATAGAATACGGCCAAAATGTGATGAACAACTGGGCGATAGCCAATTTGGATTTCGATCTGGTGTTGACACCAGAGAAGCTATTTTTGATCTCAATGTTCTCGTACAGAAATGCAGGGACATGCAAACTGATGTATTTTTGTGCTTCATAAACTACGAAAAGGCATTTGACCGAGTTAAACATCATAACTTTTCAGCCTTTTATATGACATTGGTCTTGATGGTAAGGACGTCAGAATCATCCGCAACCTGTACGAGAAGCAGGTAGCTACGATAAGGGTCGAAAATGAGTAAACCGACCAAGTTGAGATCTCTCGTGTGGTCCGGCAGGGGTGTATCTTATCCCCATTGCTTTTTAATGTCTACTCAGAGGCTGTGATGCCAAAAGCTCTTGAAAACCTTGAAGTGAGAATAGGAATCAACGGCAGGGTCGTTAATAACTTGCGTTTTGCGGACGACACTATCCTTATTGCAGCATCGAAAGCCGATTTGCAAGCAATTGTGAATAAGGTTAATGAGTACAGCGAGGAAGCCGGTTTGCCGATAAACATAAGCAAGACCAAGTTCATGGTAGTCTCAAGAAACCCGGATTTGAGTTCAAGCGTATATGTAGCTGGAAAACAACTAGAGCGGGTACGACAGTACAAGTATTTGGGGGCTTGGGTAAATGAATGAGCATGAAAATCTGATCAAGAAATCAAGACCCGGATAGAAATTGCTCGGGCCCCTTTTAATAAAATGAGGAAAGTTCTTTGCTGTCGTCAACTGAATATAAAGCTCCGAGTCAGGCTACACGGCTGCATACCCATGCGGACTCACAACAGGTCCTACCACCAGATGTTTATGTTTGTATTACAGCATACTTTCAGAGTGCCTATTCTCCCAAGAGACCTTAAACCTTATCCGCCTATTACGCGATACCCATGCGGAGGGTTTTTTATTAATTGTTATTTAACAGATTGATCCTGATGGTCACGTAGTGTTGGAGGGGGCAGATTTGACGTGTCATGCGAATGGATTCCGTTGTTCTAGGCCTAGACACCACACAGCCACAGGTACTTTAGGTAATTACGCATTTAGGAAACAAATAGAAGATCCCGATTTGGAATACCATCAAATATTATAACCGTAGTGTTTCATTATGTTTTTTTTTTAAATATTTTTAACAAAATGAAATCTAATCTGAATTGAGTTGTTAATAAATTAAGCTGAAACTCTCGACGCCATCACCGAAGCCGAACCAATTGAAAAGCTTCTTTAGAGCTTTGAGGGTTGTTAGCCCGTATTTTTTTCTGTAACTTCTGTATAAGATTTTAATTTCATTTTTTCAAACATTTTTTTTAAATTATCGTCTATGTAATGACCTGTCCTATAATCTCAAATTCTTTAAGTAGTCATCCTTTCAATTACGAGATTTAATGTATTCAATTGTTATTGTATTCAAGGTCAGAGTATACATAGGTGTAATGTTGTATAATATTCACTCAATAAAAAAAAACATTTAAATATCATTTAATACTTTATTTAACTAAAAAGATACAGAGATCAAACGAAAGTCTTCAGTTCATTAACGTATCAGTCTAAAATTACTTTACTAAATTAATCTAAAGATAATTCTAAGACATGCAGTACAATTGACACATAAGGAAGAATTCACTTATTAACAAAAAGAAAACTAAAAAGATAAAACTTAAAAGATAACATTGGCACGGTCGGCCCTTTTAATTAAATTTCGAATCATTTTTTCTTTTAAAATAAATTTATAATAGTGACAGATATACAACCTAAAGTAATATTTAAAAAAACATAAGTAACTAAAGTAATATATAAGTAATATCTCCTTAACTAACTTAAAAATAATTAAAGCTTTTGATCACTTAGAAGATTAATTAGACTTAAAATACCTATTCAATTGAATCTATCAATCTATAAACTTATACTAACAATTAGAGAGGTTAATATTTTTTTCTTAACAACGAATTAAAGCTTCTTAATATAACAAACTAATATCACAGATCACCTAAACATTCTAATGGAAGACATTGGATCGAAATAGAGACGTAATTATTGAAGAAGACCGGCGCTGCAAGACAATATAGCCGAAAGGGGGTGCGTTGATAACAGTGCAGTTAAATTAAAGCTGTCTACCAAAACTCGTCAAAAATTTACACTGTAAATCTAAATGTGATGCGACATTACGACACTTCCAAACGAATTTGAACCTAAACTCACCGAGATTGTAAACGAAATCGCTTTAACGAGGCATCAAAATGTTACACCACATCACTAATTCTAATGGAAGACGATGGATTCGCGTCGTGACGCTCACTAAATCTACTACTCGTGGAAGACAGGATTTTGTTTCACTGCATTATATTAGTATGGATAGTTTTGAATAGAAGGTATTAATAACAAAATTTACATACGAAACAGTTTGGTTTTGTCGCCATGTAGCAGATCTCGCGCACTTCGTTCGCCATGTTCTCGTCTTGTTCAGAGGCATCGTTGATCAGCTCAAAGCGATTGGAGTTCAGGATATTCTGGTTTTGCGCGTTATCATTCTCCTCGACGGGCACCGCTTTGTACGCCTCCACTGGATAGAAGAAATCAGAGAAAGGCACCAGGAGAGGTTCTTCATCATTTACAGTCTTTTGGGATGGTAGGTCAGAGCGAGGTCCGGCGTTGGATATAAGTTCACCCAGCTTCGACCAGCACTTGTTAAGATTCACCCGCGTAGAAGTTGCTACTTTCCGAGGTAATCGAGGTTTGGAGTTCTGCAAATAATAAACATTTGTAAACAAACATGTAAACAATATCAGATCAATAAGCGAATAAAACCGTTTATATCAGAACGTTATTACATAAACGATGCTTACCTGATTTAAGAGCTTAGCCCAGGGCGATCTAGGAGACATCGCCTTTTTCGGGGGTGATTGTTCATCCTTAGCCAAACACATAACGAATAGAAAACTTAGTCTAACGTACGACTACGTATTTACAAGGTTGCTGTGCAAAGCGACGTGCACGCACGAAGCCTCGGCAGGGAATGATAGAATCAGGAAGGGTGGGGGCCCTTTTATACGGTAGGGCTTAGGAGCTCAGCGCGTGCGTCTGGGGTCGACGCGAGCCGAGCACGCGAGCTGGAACGCGCGCCCGCAGACTGGTTTTTACTCAGTACTTCTACGAATAGAGCCTTTGACGTGCCGCAACTTAGAATACTCGCTTGTCACAAGAGACCGGACTCGTGAAGATTTACCGATGACTAACGTTAACCGGGATCGCTGTCATTAGACGGGACTCGCATTGCCTCTTACTAACGTAACTTTTTGTTTTTCTTAATGCCGACATGTTGGTTGGAAAGATCGGAGTAGTTTTATTAAAGCTTAAAAGCACCTTCGTTTTGGAAATTTACAATGGTTCGTTTAATTTAATAATAACTGTTTACGGTGCTTTTAGGTACCTCAAGTTCCGGTCAGCGTTCTCGGATTCGGCGAATAAACTAACCCATAGATACAGCCCACTGAGGTTCTCGCCGGATCTTCTCAGTGGGTCGCGTTTCCGATCCGGTGGTAGATTCTGTGAAGCACTGCTCTTGCTAGGGTCAGCGTTAACAACACCTCTTGGTTTGAGCCTCGATAGCTCACCTACACGCTAGGATAACGCTGATTTAGCCTCTCAAACCTATCAGCATAGGTAGGAAAATAAAATCTCCAATTATCCAATTTTCTCTATACGTAGTTCTTCGTTACACGGTTCGATGACTTTATCGATATGTTAATGATTTATATTCTGTCTATAGGCAATAATACAAAGCTGTTTTCAGTCGCAAAGGCTAGATAGATAGGTTCCGGCGCGATAAATCACAGCTGGCTTCCTGCGCGAGTCGGTACGATCGCAAATCACGCGCCTGCTGCAGATACCTCATTTCCTCCGTACATTCTAATGGAAACGAGTGTAGTACACGGCTCTACTTAAATGACATGAACTAATTCAAGTAAAACTATTATCGAAGTTTTAATATTTCGAAATCAGCAGTTGAACTGGTTCGTTAAACAATAAATCCCATAGACGCAGTCCACTGAGTTTCTCGCCGGATCTTCTCAGTGGGTCGCGTTTCGGATCCGGTGGTAGATTCTGCGAACCACTGCTCTTGATAGGGCCAGTGTTAGCAACACTCCGGCTTAAGCCCCGTGAGCTCGCCTACATGTCTAGGAGAAGCTGAAATAGCCTCTTAAGGCTATCAGAATAGGGAGGGGAAAAAAAACAAGTATGATTGAAACGTTTTCTTGTATATTTCACGTATAAATTTTAGTAGATTTTTGTTAATCCATTTCCGTTATCGTTTTGAGGTATCAAATTGGATTAGTTGGGTTTATTAAATTAAAACTATGCTTATGGTTTAATATGCTGTTTTCTATTATCGTTATATTATTTACGAGTTTTCGAGTTCTTTACAGTTGTCGTAGACACGCACGACTAAAATCGTTTGAATATTGTGCTGATTACCGTTCTGTTCTGATTTTTTTCTCAAAAAATATATTTTAGACTTAAGTTGCATTTCACACAGAACGAACTAGCTGTATTTTGAGGTCAGGCAATTGTTTGACTTGGATTTTCATTTTCATCAAATACAGGCGTTAGATAAGTTGATCGAATAATGAATTGTTTGGCTTTTGTTGTGTGATATTGTCTACGTGTATCAGTATCAGCCTGTCTATCTACAGAAAAATATGTAGTAATTTTTATTTCATACTAGCTGACCCGGCAGACTTCGTAGTGCCTCAATCGATAAATAAAAGACCTAAACTTTTGTATAAAATAAACTTAAAACAAACAAAAGGAATTCGTCCGATGGGGGACACATCAAAGGAAAAACCAAAATTGTTATTTTTATTTAATTCCAAGCATTTTCATATTTATCTACCTTTTAAACATTCTCTGGACTTCCAAAAATAATTCAAGACCAAAATTAGCCAAATCGGTCCAGCCGTTCTCGAGTTTTAGCGAGACTAACAAACAGCAATTCATTTTTGTATATATAGATAACACTTAGTATAAAATTAGATAATCATTCTTGAAATACGCATTAGATTGTGAATAAGTTATATGTATAACATTTTACCAACACATATAAATGAAGTACTCAATAAATAATATAATTGCGACATAATAAACTTCCGCGTTACAATAATTTAAAACATAAAAAAAAATTGCACATAAAAATGTCGTTAAAACATCGAAATTAATTCGGTTGGTTCTCGCATACCAAAAGACATGTTATAAATTCAATAATTTAGACTGAGTTGTAATTTAAGCATTTAACGCCGGAACATATTAAGATTTTTATCATTGCCGCATCGCCTCGTTAAAGTTTAAGACACTATTTACATAATAAACTCGTCCGACTATAATATTTCACTGCCATTATATTATTATTATATTCTAATTTAATATGTACATTGCACACATCACTTAAGCATTAGATCAGTTAAATTTAGATTAGATTTCTTCGATATGTTTACTAAATAATGTTAAATTTATTTATTAGAGTTTTGCCTTAGTGTCATTGAAATTGAATTTATAAGTGTTGCTAGTATTTTTATTTACGTGTCAATTGTCAAATACATTTACCGAGTTACAACCTCTAGTATGGGATTGACATAAAATTATGCAAATCTAATAGTTCATACAAATTAAAGGCAATGTAATGTATATGCTTACAGACAAGCGTTTTTATAATGAAAAAATCTGAAAACGATACCTATAATATTAGGGAAGGTTTTAAATATATTTTTTGTCAGGCAAACATAAGGCTTATATCACTGTGCGCCAAGCCTGTTGTATCGTTATCTTCAAAACTACAAAGTTAATAATTTTATTTCTAGACAACTCTTAAAGATCAGATAACTCATTCAATAATCGCGCTTTAGTTTTCTCTAATAAGAGAAACAAAATTCAAATTAGTCACTTAATCGACTCTGTGTCTTATGAGAAATTCTTAAACCTACATTATTTTAAATCAATGTTGGGAACGATCGATAAAAACCACATAATTTTCATTAATAAATGTAAAAAATGCTATCTATGAATTAATCTGTAATTAATTCTAAATAAATGAATACCTACGTGTCGTGTAATTTCCTGGAATAAACGGTAGCTAGTTGGTCCACGGTCAATAAACTATCTTTGATACATACAAATACATTGGGTTATTCAAGAAAAGAGCATATTCTTACCTGAAGGGTAGGCAACGCACTGGCGTAAACGCTGGTGACCGTGGGCGGCGGTGAATCACTTACCATCAGGTGATCCGTCTTGCTCGTTTGCCTCTCGTTATTATAAAAAAAAAAAAAAAAAAAATACAAAATATAGATACATATATATTTAATGCGTACCGCATAAAAGAACAAGCTAACAAACACAATTTCTTACTATTAAAACTATTTTTACGAATTAATCTCACGTTCTATATTACATTAAAAATATATCACGGACGATTAAGACCACGAAAACTGTAAAGTGTTCGAAACGTCAGCAATAATTTACTGGTGGTAGGACCTCTTGTGAGTCCGCACGGGTAGGTACCACCACCCTGCCTATTTCTGCCGTGAAGCAGTAATGCGTTTCGGTTTGAAGGGCGGGGCAGCCGTTGTAACTATACTTGAGAGCTTAGAACTTATATCTCAAGGTGGGTTTACAAGGCGCATTTACGTTGTAGATGTCTATGGGCTCCAGTAACCACTTAGCATCAGGTGGGCTGTGAGCTCGTTCACTCATCTAAGCAATAAAAAAAAAAACAATGACAGTTAAAAACGCGGGATAAAACTGCAAGAGTAGGTAGTTTAAATTTGGCTACGACTTCCGAAATTCAAAAATAATACTACAATTTCCCAATTGTTTCATTAAATAAGTTTTCAAATACCTAAAATATTCACAAAAAAAAATTTAACTTTTATCTCATTAGCATGCAACTCATCAGGCAAAGGCAGCAGAACGTAACTGATACTTTATTCCTCGGCTGAAGAATCTTACACATGATACTTTCGTCTAAAATAAAAAAGAAAAAAAAAAAGAACCGTGGACCACAACCCGACCACGTGCAGCCTTGCTTTTGAAAAAAGAAAATAAAATCTTGGTCTTTTTTGTCCTCGCTCCCCACTGGGTAGGGTTACATAAATGGGATTCGATATTGAAGTGTGGCTATGAAAGTTGCATGCTGTGCTATGTGTACACATACACATCGTATGCGTGTGGAATGCACCTTATTACAACACCTAGAATGTTCGTTTAATATATATATATTTTTTTTTTGTATTATTTGAATTTTAGAGTAGAGATTTTTTGCTTTCCAAATCAAATGTTTCAATCACTTTCATTCCACGTCTTTAATTGCATCGTAAATGGGCCTATCTTTAAAAAAAAATTAATGCTTTTGAAATACGAACCTGACGCAAAAAAAATTACACAACCTAATTATGGTCTACATTAGTAATTTGTTTATTAATTAAATATTAGTTATCCTAAAGAAATCATTATAAATAAAAATATACGATCAATCTATTCAAAGACACATGAAATAGGTAAATGATTTAACAATATTTTGTGTGGAACAAAAATCAGGATTCCAACGTTTAGCAAACAACACATTATTAAAAAAAAAACTTTTATTAATTCGTTCTTTGAATTAAGGTATACTGGTACAAAGAGCCTTAATAGACGCGGTTAGATAAGCGCGCGTAGGTACCTACGTAGTCGCGTGGCTTAATGACGTCCCGAGCACAACGACGCATGACACTCGTGTTATTGTGTAACTGTCAATGTGTCAATTAACAAAGAGTTTGTAATTTTATTAATAGTTCATCGCGATTGAATTCGATATTTAAATTATTGTCTGCAACATCTGAAGTTTGTCTTAAGACGTACCGTTATAGCCGCACGGATAGGTATTAGCCCACTGAGTTTCTTGCCGTATCTTCTGAGTGGGTCGCGTTTTCGATCCGGTGGTAGATTCTGCTAAGCACGGCTCTTGCTAGGGTTCGTGTTGGCAACATCGTCAGGTTTGAGCTCCCTGAGCTCACTAGCCCGGTTTCTTTAGACCATCAGCTTAGGAAGGAAAAAAAAGATAGGTCTTCTATTTCTTCTGTAAATCCTGTGAATGCGTACAGATTGGAATCACGAAACAGCCTGTGTAAGCATCAAAACTTCGAACCTCACCTTTCAATTTGGACGTGGCATTAAATTGTGATCTTCATGTACCTACTCCGGTTGCCACTTAACACAAGGTG